GGCTGGGTACTGAGCCCTCTCCCCCATGAGGCCAGGGGCAGGCAGAGGGACCAGCTGCCCAGGGAGGGTGGGCAGGCTCTGTCCTGGGGGGGTCTCAGGACCCATCTGGGCAAAGCCCTGAGCAACCTGGTCTGGTCTCACAGCTGGCCCTGCTTGGAGCAGGGGTGCACAAGGGACTCATGAAGTCCCTTCCAGCCTGAATGACCCAGGGATCTCAGGTAAGTTTTGCAGCACCGGGACAGTACGCTGGTTACACCTGGCTAAAGCATCCTCTTGTTGTCCTATTTATAGAAAACATTTTCTTCAGAAACTCACCCATTTTACACAAAGTCCAAAATAAATAAACAGTACGTGTTTGCTAGGGATACACTCTGGCTTCTCCAGGAGTTAGCCAACATATGCGGTCGCACTTTTCCACAGGCTCACATGACTCTGCTCCAAGCAGCTGAAGATACCTATATATAGAAAATTAGTACAAGCACCCTTATATAATCCAGATTACTTTGAAACAAAATATGGGCTTCTTTCCCACCCCCAAGATTAATTAAATAAGGCACTATGAATTATATTATCTCCGTATAGTCTTCTATTTAGAAACTAAAGGTGTGCATTTCTTACAATGACTGAATAGACCAAATGGGATAACAGATCTCTATCTAGATAGCTGTCCCAAAAGATGTGCTGCACATCTGCCAATTTAGGATGATATTTTAGCTCAATAGTAGCTATCCACAATTCTTTGTAGTATTTCATCTTACAGATATAAAGGAGAAAAGATAACCTTTTTTTCCAAGAGCCCTTCGTGAATGCCATGAAAAGATATCAATGTACCTATGAAACAAAAGGCTTCTGCAAATAGGAATGCAAGAAAAAGTCTTTCTACTTGCACATTCTCAAATGAATTGCAGATGTCAGGCAAATCAATAAATCTCTCGGATATCAAGAAAAATAAGGATCCCAGCCACTTCCCCCGAGACTCTTTATGTAAAAGGTGGCACAATAATTATGTAGGTGGATTATGATCTATAGGTAAGTGCACTGACTATTAACATCTAAAAGTGACATTTCCTTTTCAGACAAATTTAATACGAGCTGCAAAGATGCATTTTGCAGTCAACTTGCTTGTACAAAAGCTAAATCAGGCATGCTCAATAATTGTACTGTATGCATTTTCCAGCTCAGACTCTGGTTCTGCCGCCTCTCCCAAGTCAGTTACTGTGGGTAGAGGTGGCCTAATTTTTTGAATGCATAGCACATTTGCCTAAATATGCAGTTTATGAAACAGCACCACTGAAATACTCCAATCAGATCTGGCAAAAAATAATGATGGGGAATGAGGGCACGGGAGGGAGCAAAAAAAAAAAAAAAGCAACCACCATTGAAATGTTTTATTCTGACAGCTTGGAAATGAACTTTTTGACTTTTTAAGACAGCTTTTTTGTTGGAAGAGGAAATGTTAAGAAAGATTCAGAGTTAAATAACTGAAAGTTGAACAAAACTAAGAAAGCCCTTTTCAATGAAAAGAAACATTTCACGTCAACCAGAATGAATATGTAGTTTTATTTTCATGAATTAATTTTTAAAATGTTGGTACTTTGTAAACCAGGTGGGGTTTTCTTTCATTTCAGGCATAAAAATGAAAAATTGATCATGCAGTCAACATTAAGTTTGAAAATCTGCAGGCAAAGTACCTATTACCTGGTGAAAAAATGTTTTTCCTGTCCCCTTGAAAAATGCTCATGTGCTCAGGACTTATAAGAATAGATTGAATCTTTGGGAGAGCTAAGGATGTCATCAGAAGTATGGATGGGTGCTGTAATGTTGGTTTTAATAGCTCGTCTTTTGACCTCAGTCGGTTGTTGCTGTTATGACAAAGCTTAAATAGGCACGACCAAAATCAAGGAGTAGCTCTTTGAGAGCTGTCACAGAAGAAAAAACTCCATTTTAGAGTGCCAAATGAGGGCCTTTGCACCCAGGTCAGCCATAGCATGTCAGCCCTGCAGCTGAGGCCTCCTCTCAGAAGGGGTGCAAGGAGTTAGGCAAACTGAAATGGAGCTAAACTGAGAGAGAGAACTGAATTCAACTTTGTGTTGCGTGAAGCAAACCTGATTAAGGGAAGGGAAGAGTATCTGTAAATGTTCACCACAAAATGAAGAAGAAACCAGAAAAGAGAGAGAAACCCACCAAAACCTGCACAGCCTCGCCAGTGCAGCACATTGCATGCATCTTCAGCAGCCCTGCCTGGGGTGAGCCGGGGATGCTAGAACTACAGTAGGGGTCCCTGCTACCATCCCCACCCATCTTGTCTCCCAGCCCTTAGCCTGCCTCCGGCCCCTGAACTCCGGTGGGGAGCACCACTCGGGCACAGCTGGTGGCTGAGCCTTATTTCTTGTGGCGCGCTGGGCTGACCGAGCCAGGCAAGCTCCGAGCCAGCTCCGGGCACTTTGCTGGGAGCTGCTCTGCTTTGCGTGGATGTGCCATCAGCCAGCGGGGGAGGAAGAGGAGGGCTTTGAAGAAACCTCTTCTCTTTGAAGAAATGCCTGCGCATTGTGCATAGCTTGGGAACTCCTGCAGGATCAGGCCGCCTCTTGATGTCTGGAAGAAATTTAACTAAAAGGCTATGACATGAAAACCTGGAACTTTATAGAAAATGACAACTGATGGCTGGAGAGCCCTGAGGCAGGGTAAATAACACCCATGGGGAGGCTTTGCTGAGAGGAATCTAGCTACATAGGGTTTCGCATCAAAAGCCATTTCGTTTCTTGTGGGAGGAGATAAGATTAAAAAATAAACCTATGTTATAGCTGTTGCTAGTATCACCTAATGCAATGGTGAAAGGCATTGTGGTGATGACAGCAGTGTATGAACTCATGTGAAATAGAATAGAATCTAAAATAGAGGCAATGTAAACATTTGGTGAGTTTTATCAGCTGATATTTGTGTGAAAAAAACCAGTACAAATGGTCCTGATGATCCTTGAGGTCCCTTCCAACCTGGTATTCTATGATTCTGTGAAATGAAATGTTGTTAACACCTTTCACTTCCATAAACTTGAAATGGCTACAAGTGGAACGCTAGCAAAAAAAATAAAAGAAAACCCTGCAGAAATTACTGACTTAAACCTTCCACATTTATCACTGGACTCGTGAATGTGGTGACTAATTAAATTAATGTGATAAAGCAATTTGGTTTCTGTGTATTAGTTTTTCTACTTATACATGAAAGCCACTAGTTAATAAGAAGCTGACAAGCTTTTTCTCTTGTTCATGTCAGGTGCTGAAACTAATCTGAACTTGAGGAGCAGGGAAGATCCAAATACATCAGATATTGGATCAGAAAGCCAGGATAAAAATGCAAATAACCATGGAACTCAGTCATCTAATCCACTGTCCAGTTCTGTGACTGCTGAAAATGGAAATTCAGTATCAAATGGTAAGCAGTTTTTAATCCCAAAGCTCTTCTAACATAAAATTGCTGAAGTGTTTCCTTGAATGAGCTTTTTAAGATATAGTCAAGTTGGAACCTTCTGAGTTGTGAAATATCTGTGTTTCTGGAACTGGCTTAACTTTGTATGTGTGAACTGATAAGCCCCTCTCCAATAAAAGCTGGATGTGATGAAAATAAAAGAGCCTCTGCTGAGGAATTTGTAATTAGCTTAACCCCAAGTCTATAAGCAGCCTGAGAAATGGAGGACAGAGGTTTGAGATTACTGATTCTGTAACCTATACAAATGGGACAGAAAATGGAAAATCAGGATCTCCTTTTGCTACAGGTGCTAGTGAGTGACAAATTGTTTATCATTGCAACAAGAGGAATGACAGAAAGGATGAAATCTTTCAAGGTCCTAAAAGCATAAATCCTAAGGATATAACACCCGTATTACATAAAATCACACAATACAAATACACAAGTATGAATAGACAAATAGAAAGCATTTATTTTGATGGAATGTGGAGAAGCAGATGTCTAAATGCTTGCATGGCACTGTATACAATTATCTACATGCTGAAAAATTAAGTCTAAATATGGTTTGTGTAAGCAGAACAGTTACATAGCCTTTAATGTTAAGGGTAGAACTACACATTGGTAGTTTGAGAGCTATACTGGAACAACCAAAGGGAAAAAAATATTAGGTCAAGTGAAATATTACAATTTTTTTTTTCCAAAAATGCTACCTTTTTTTTTTAAATAAAAGCTAGAGCTGCTTAATATGCAATGTTTTGAAATGAAAAATCAAAGTTTATTATCAAAATAAAACATTTCAAAATGAAATAATTCCTTTCTTTTCAAGAAAACTTATTCTCCAAATTCTGCAGTGCTTGGCCAAAATAATTCTTCCTGCTCCCTCTGATAATCAAAGCAGAAAACTCATCCAGTCTGAGAAGTTATATGAGTGTAAAGGTGCATTCATTCCTGTGTGGAACCAGGAACACACTGAAGAAGAAGAAAAAGGCATCTTTGTCCATTACAACTGTGTCCCCATTCCTATCAATATAATAGTTTGGGGAGGAGGGGAGCATATTTTCAGTATGTATAACAGTCAGACTGTTAAATTAATACAAAAACTGTGGGTAGGCCAAGTCTTTGATTCCTTTCCATGTAGGATTTTAACCATATATTCCGATGTCTTAATGGGACTTCTGGGAGATCAGCTTTTTATAAAAGCAATCATTTTATCCCCAGCCCCCTTTACTGGGAGTTTAATCACAAGAGCTGTGTTTATTTCAGCTTAGAAATGAAATCATGCTCTAAGTTTATAATTTGTGATGATTATAGTTAAATTAGTAAATGATCTCAGTTGCTGAAATAGTCATTGCTTGAATAAAAGGCCAACTAATAGGTGAGATGGGTGCTTGTAAATGTGTGTGTGAGGTTTTTATCGGTGTATTTGTAACCACTAGTAGCCAAGGCTGTTCATATTGATAATATAATGTATCTATTATACAAAAACTAATTCTTTTCAAACTATTTGTAAATGGAAAGTTTAATCATAAAGGTGTAAAGTTGTGCAATGGAATTTTCCAGTAAGATATTTTTTCCATTAAAAAACACTGATTCATCAAACCCAAACTTCTCATGGAAAGTTCCCAATTTTGATGCAGCTTTGATAAGGAATGGTTTTGATATTCACTGTATACTATGACTAGAAAAAAATCTCCCTTTAGGTCTGGCAGTATCCCACTGGGTAAGGAAATAGCATTATTTGTGGTATTTCAAGGTTCAAGTCTATGTTTTGCCTATCAGACTGTTGTAGAAATGATGCAAGCTTTGATTTTACCCTGATGCAGAGCAAAATCAGATTATAAATTTTGTAATACAGAATGCTAGTTTTCCAGCCACCCTTCATAATAACTGAAATAGTTGACAATATGGAAAACTTTGGTATACTTTGATTGTATGAATTCAAAACCAGTTTGCCAGTTTGCTTGGGAAAAAAAATCCTTCCAGGACTCAACCTTAATATCTGCGTGATTTTGAAATCTGTGCCTTGTTGGATACATCTAAGGAATACTGATATTTGAGAGTGTGCCATGAGATGTTTCCATGTAAAATACTTATTCATTTCTTTGTTACTGTATACCAAACTCCTCTAGCTTTGAGGAACATAAAACCTGAAATGCATTATTAAATAGTTGATACCGAGGTTACAAAACTCTTGAATATAGAGTCATCTGCTTCCCGCTGTTACACAGTGCAACTATATAATCTCCTTTACACTGGTGGAACTAAAGTCTAGATTCATACATTACTCATGTGAGTTAATACAGAAGCAATTTCTTAAATAAGACTAGTCTTTTGCTGTCATGAATGAAGTGTCAGCACCACTCCTCTGAAGCATCATGAAACTTAAAGTCACTATGGTCATAAGAATAATCATGCTGATGAAAATGTTAATCTTATAACCTGATGAATTCTTTGAAAAACCATTACTAAGCAGCTAAAAAGCTGGCTGGCTCAGCTTCCAAACAGATTAATGCTGTGTTGCTTTCTGAAGCTGAGTTTAATTTCTGGGACTGCTGTTAGTTCAGGATTTCGATAGCAGTTGCTTTTTCATTTTATACAATGTAATCTTCTTCTTCTTTAGTGTATCTTTAATATTAGGAGTAACACCTTTATACAGCTCTGTGCTATCGAGCTGACTTTTCTGCTGCAAATCTTCCACAGAAGAGTTTTTAGTCTGAAAGAAAGAGCTTTTTTGCTATTTCTTGTTCAAACACAAAGAGTAATGAGAAAGCCTATAATAAATTTTTAAGTTACAATGCTGAAAGTTGTCATCCTAAATCACCCAAAACAGCAGATCCTCTGGTGGGGGACACTCAAACACTGCAGGTAAAATTTTACTGAAATTTGCTGTCATTTCTATGTAGGACCTAGTGGAATATAGAGGAGTGTTTAATTACGTGAAATGTTTAAATATGACAACTATAAGTGACTGAGTTGACCTAACTTTCGGTCAGTGAAAGGGAGAAATTCCACAGAAATCTGACAGTTCTTTATGCCCAGTGGAATGTGTTGTAGAGATACTTGCTCTGTGTAACCCACATGAAAATTAGTGGATGCTGTGTAGATGAGACAGCCCTGTTGGACCAAAGGACCATTGTGCTGCATCGTGCCTAATGGTCCTACAGGCATGCACTTTGCACTGTGCTGTTCATCCAGCTCTGTTGGGATGCTGCTGTCCCTCAAAGGAAGCCTCTCTGGTTATTCCTCTTCTCTCCAGTTATAACTGAGGTCCACTGCTTGTATATGGAGACCCATGTGAATGGGCTCACTATATAGTTTATGCAGATCAGCATAAGAGTAACTATAAGAACCCATCTGTTTCACCAAAAGCCCTGTGCATTATTCAGGTAAAGGGATTAATCTTGCCTAACTTCAGCTGCTGAGAAGGTAGCCATTCTGTCTAAGCAGGTCACCTGTGGGCTACCATCTGCTGTATAGTCTCTTGAATCTTACAACCAGATCTCAGCATGTCAGGCAGCAAGTTGCAGAATGGGAGAGGTGTCACAGCAGATAACATGACAGAAAAGGGGCATGTCACCATGACACAGGCTACATCTTGCCTTTCCTGGTGGTGCCTTTCCCACACGTTAGCAGCCAATGTATCAAGTAAGGCCCATCAGTAGATCCAGCCTGTGTGTGAATCCAGAACAAGGAAGGTAGAAAGTTTGGGGAATGATGTGTGGACACAGTTGCAAAGCCCCAGAGACTCTGTGGTGTTGCTGTTGTTTTGCAAATACGGATGTTGGAGGCCAGGAGGTGCAGGGTCTCCAGTTCAGGGGTAGCAGAGCCTATGAGACCGGAGGTTCTTTGGAACCACAGAAACACTTCTAGATGTCCTGCAATCTACATCTTAATACGTGAGATGCAAGCTATTTATCTGAAGGATCCCAACAGGAGTATCTGAGAACAGGGCAGAAATGGGAAATAGGAAGTACAGGAAGAAGATCAGGGATTGAGTGTGGAATCTTCCTTTGAAGCGATATAGAAAAGGTGAGTTATAGTGAGTAAGTGGATAAAGGACTGGGTTTCTAGTTTGAATACACATATTGCTTGGAACAAGGCCATATTCTTGATTATGTGAAAAAATGGAATGCATTTCTTTCATTTAACTTCTCCAGTTAGAGAATATTGATTGAATCATATTCCTTGCTATCCTTCTCACCACCATGTATGATTGCAGTAACAATGTTAGCAAGCATAATTTTGCCAAAAAAAGCGCCAAATTAGACTTACTTTTGGTAGCTTGAGAACAGTTGTGAGAAAGCCCAGTCCAAATGGTGTAATTTGTACTCCAGCCTGAACCCCTGATTATGTTCTTGTAGTTCTGCCCCTGCTAAACTGATGCTTCCAACCTTGTGCTGAATTAAGCAAGGTCTTATTCAGTGCACAGCTGTGGTATCCTAATATTTACTTAGGTGTACGTAAAGGAAAACTCTCGGAATGTAATCAACTACTCCATTTATCTTTCCAAACTCCACCAAGCCTCCGCTTGCCATGTCTGTGACGACATGCTGTTGCTGTACGTGGAAACTTTCCTTATTTGATAAGACCTGTTATCAAAGTGCTTTTCATAGAAATAAACAGAAAATCATTGATAACCTTATTCTTAGCTCAAGGCTGTCATGGACGGTAGATCCTAAACTGTATGAATACAGCGCAAAAGCAATATCTTTTTCAAAACACACTGCTGGTCGAGGAAAGTATTTTCATTCATTTATGGTGGTCTAGAGTCATGCAAAAATTTTACATTATATCTTTTATTTGTATTAAATGAATAACACCTACTTTAAAAAGGCATTTTGCATTAAAATTTGGATAATTTTTTATTACTTTGAGATGTATCCAAACTGAATCTGTGTAAATAAATTCGTTCAGGAAATTACTGGAAAAAAAGGGGTTTGTTTTGTGTTGTCAAAAAATAGATTTTTGGAGGGAAATTTATTTCAAACATTTCATTGGACCAAAAATACTTGATTTTGCTGAGGGAGAATTTTAAGTTGGAGGACTGGGAATTTAAGAAAGGAATAGTGGGAACTTACATGTTTTACAAGCCTGGAGTTACAAATACTGGAGACCTTGAACATCGAACCTTGCCCCAGTACATACCTAATATATCATGGACCAGCTTCAAAAAGGGATAACTCTACCTCGAAACAACACATAGTTCAAATCACTGAGAGAACAGGGTCAGATTCCCTCTCTGCACCAGGCAGAAAAGGACTGAAATGCTGGATTCTCACTAGATTTGACCTGGCTCCTGAGCTGCAAGCAGTGGTTCCACCTTCTTCATTGCCTGTGTGTGTCCAGAGGAAGTCCAGATGATTTGAAGCTGTAGAAAAAGATCCATATTTATGACTACTTTACACAAGCTTTATTCAGAAGAACAAATCAAAAAAACAGTTGTGCCTAGTTACAGAGCTGTGGAGATGCACCATTATAAGGGGGAAACTACAAGCAAGGTAGAGAGGCCAAAAAGGAATAAGGATCATTTGTTCTCTTTGAAATTCTTGTTCTATTTCTCTCGCAAAGCTGGATTATTCATGCAATTTATATTTTCATGAGTTAAATGATATTTCAGTAACCATGTAAGAGTTAATGCTCATTCATCAAAATAAAAAAAAATAAAAAAAAAACATTTTTAATACTGAAAATAGCAGGTTGGAAGACAAGCATGTTTTACAGTGTGTTGCTATGCCAGTTTCGTGATTGAACAAGAAACTGAACATGAACATGAAACAGAACTGTCTGGCGCAGTACATAATCCCATAAGTAGTTTATGATTCATTGCATTTGAACTTTGAATTGTTTCCATTATGATTCTAAGTTGTGTATAACATGCAAAGAGTGGGGCTTGCCTCATTTTTTCTTAGATAAGTTACATGTCTAGGCCCAGAATCACCTTACTTAGTTTCAGCGACACAAAAAGTAGACGTCTAGTCTAATCAAATACTTCAGATTAGTTGTTATCCATTTCTCGTTTGTAAATCTCAGGTGATCTACTGAGAAAAATTCAACTTGAATATCTCGTACCAGGATGAATCCTCTTCTTGTGGTGACTAGCTCTGTTCAGCTAACTAAAGAAGGAGTAGTGATATGCTGTTTATAGGTTCCCTAGTAGTGTGAAAATTTGGAATATATGGTATACAAAGCAATACCAAAATTGCTGCATACCAGACCTACCATGGTGACTGTGATTCTAGTTTGTGAGGGGATTAATAACACCGATCATGGACTCACTGTGTTTCTGCTTCTGCCTTTGCTTCCCTTCATCCTGCCTTTCAGATCTTCTGTAGTCCTATGTGAATGGTCTTCCCACTCTGGCAGAAGTGATGGGGAAGTGCCAGCAGGGAGCCTTGTTCTAGGATCACTGTGCAGGGGTGTTTGTTTCTCTTGACTACAGAGGGAGTGGATGCCTGGCTCTTCTACACTGGATGACTGTTTTTTAAACAGCTAAATTTTGGGCAGCTAATTCCCATATGGAGTGCACAATAAGTACAAGAATTACAAAAAAAGCTCTGTACTGAGGAGATGAAGTTGTAAGACCTGGACCTACTATTGACTTCTTGTGTGACCTAATGACATTAATTTGAGAACAGACTGCAGGCCTGTTTTCTATTCCTTTTGCATTGCTTCTGTGATGAAAAGGAGCCAGGGGAAGAGGAACCGGGGATTTCTGCATTGCAGGAGGAATCCCTGGCCAGTGTATAGGCAATGTCTTATTTGTGGGCTCCTTCAGTACAATTGCTCTTTCTGTAAACCAGCATGCATACCTATGATGCTGCTTGTACTTGTTAAACAATAATTGTTCCAGTTTCAATAAGCATGGAAATAATAAATATCCAGGCAAATGTGTGATTTTTTTCATTCTTTTTTAGTAAAGCATGTCAAGGTCTTTTGAATCGCATGCTGAAATCTGCCAATGCATACATGTCAGGTTATAAATTAGTATTGTTCTGCTTTAGGTTTACCAGAGGAAAATGAATATTCAAGACTGTCGGCCAGCACTACGGCAGGCTCATCAATTCAAAGACATAGGGAGAGCCACACTAGCCAGGTAAATATTTCATTGACAGTCTACTAGAACCAGTAAAGGAGAAAAAAAAATCATAGTAGCTTCATGTTGAAAGCTGACTTGATTCAAATTTGGATGTTGGTGTTGAAAAATGCAGACTTCTTTTACAGGTTTGTATTGGGTTACAGACAATAATGAATTTACTCTTAACATTTTTTTGCTGGGAAGATAATCATCCTGAAAGGTTCTCATAGTAGAGTTCAAAATTTATGAAACTTACTGTTGTTGGTTGTGAGGATGCTATTTTCAGGGAGGAGATATATCTCTTCATCCTGAGAGGAACAAGATGCTATCATCTCCCTCAAGTTATTTATTCATATCAGAAAGAGTTGCATGATAATGAACCTCATAGGAACAAATGCATAATTACATCATCCTTTTGTACATAAAAGCAGTGGAGCCTTTAAATGCACTCTTCGCTGGTTTTATACAAATATCAATAAGTAAAAATTAAAATCAAAATTTGTTATCAATTAAACAGCAATAGGTACTGAGGTAGTGTGAAGCTTGCACTTCGGTTCTTTTAAAATTTCTGTTTAGTTAATATCACCTTAAATTAACAACACAGAATTAAGTTTGATGTGCATTAAGTGAACAAAAAGGAATAAAATTTGTCATAATATATTTTATTCATTCTTTTTTCAGCATTTTATATATATTATGAAACACTTTAATTTCTAAATAGCCAATTCAGGCATGAAGGCATTCAAGAAATTTTATTTCATTTCACTTAAATGGTATTATGTATTCTTCTGTTGTCTTTATGTCTTTAGTCCACTTTTCTAAAAGGGTAGTCCTGAGTCATTTTTTTATTGGAGATGACTGTAAGAATTTTACAGTAAAGCCAAATATTGTCCAAAGAGAATATACGTTGGAGCTGAGAGGAATTTCCTCAACAGAAACCTCTCATTAACCAATGGTACAGTTTCCAAACTATTTTACCGGAAGGTAAGTGAAGTGCTTTATCACATTTAAAAGCTACGTGTTGTCTGCAGGGGACAGCTGGCATTTCATTACAACAAAATACTGGCCCTAACCAAGTGAAGGAATGTTTGGCCATTGACTCCAACAGGAGTCATATTCAGTCTTAACAGAACTTCGAAAACCAATAGGTTTTAACTGAGTAACTATGTGAGCAAACAAGTACAAAATTCTTCACTTTTTGTTTTTCTGCCTCCCTGTCCAAAGCACAGGCATAACTACAGCGCCTATTCTGGATTGACAAATTGTGCCAAGGCAGCACTCAGCAGATCTCTTCAGATACAGAAATAAGGTCAGCCAGAGCTGCCCCGGCACATGTAGGCACATACTCGTCTTGCACACAATAAAAAATCTTTTTGCCATTACCATACCTCTCAGATTCTCAGAATGTCCTTTGACCATATTGTGAAAAATACTTACAGGTCTATTATCTCCAGATCAATATACTGGATGAGGACATGGGATTATGAAGATGACTAGAGGCAATGTTTTCAATTGTCTCTGTTACATTTTTTAATGATCAACCAAATACTTATTAGCCATGAGAGTGGGCAAAGAGCCCTCTCTAGTGAATGAAAAATCCAAGTCCCAGACACTACTCCAGTTATAAACCTCACACAGTGAGACACTGTTGTCCTGGAGCACCTTACACCTCTGTTGCTAAAATGCTTGCCTGGGATCAAGGAGGATCATGTTTAAATTACTGCATCAGTGCAGTACATGGAGAATTAAATGAACTGGGTACAGGGGAGCCATTATCTTCTTCTTGTCTTTGCAAATGGAAACTGTATCCTTATGTGAAATTAGTCTGCAGCATTTAAATGCTTTATTTTAGAAGCAAGTCTTTAACCATTTACAAACTTGTATTTCTTATTTTTCCAAAACTACTTGCCAAAAGCTGAACACAATTTCAATTCAGGACTTTGAAATGTCACTTTTCAATAAATAGATGTTTTGCCAGAGTGTTTCACAAATCTTTAAAATAGATTCCGTGCCATGTACTCAGAATTACATGCAGGGACAATCCTTAAATGCAAGCTCAATAAGAACTGTGACAAGTTTAGAGAAGAAATCTGCAGTTCTGTGATTTTCGATACAATTGTTTTAATGAATAAACATCTCCCAAAGTGGTGTTGCCAAAAGAAAAAGAAAAAAAATCTTCCTCCCACAAAAAGAAAAAAAAATCTTAAGAAAAAGTCTGTGCACACAGGGCTGAGAATTCTTACTGCAAAAAGCACTCCTCACCATTTCCAAAGCATGGCATATATTTGAAAATGATTGGTTTTAATTACAGCTGACATTTCTTAGCATGCTGATGGTGACTCTAACAGCGTACAACCCTATTGTAAAAGTCTTTGCCAGGCTCCACTGCGGTAACCTTATCACTTTAAAGTAATTCTTGCACAGACGTATGAAATAGGACAGATTGTTTCACAGATCTGTGAAGGTACTGATTGACTAATTGCTTTAGAGGGAGAAACATAGACGGGGTCCTTGGATTTCTTGGCAGACACTCTGTCATTTCAGCTAAAGGAAACTGGTTCATTAGCTTTCAAGGACTTCCAATATTATGGGGTTTTTTAATATCTCCCTGATAGTTCCTTACTGAAGTGACAGGAGTTAATTTCATTTTTGTCACAGGGTCTCAAGGCTCATATATGTCCAACTAAAGTTTAGGCGTTGTGGCTTATGGTACCATCATGTTGTCACATCAGGTGATAATTACCTACATCACTGCCTGGTACTTCCTGCACACTGCAAACCTACACACTTTAGAGAGCAAATACTTCAGCTCAATATCTGTCAACATACATCATAAGCATCAATCTTTTAACAAACACTTTTGGAAGCAATTACCAAGTATAAAATATCATGCAGATGTGAACTCAGCAACTTAACTGATCATCTCTAAAGTATAGGCTGCTGAAAACAAAAAAAAAACAAAAAAAAAAGGAAGTTCACTGTTGGCCATAAATGCTACTTTTCCAGGGCAATGGTTACTTAAGAGTCAATTTGTATTAAAATGAAAAAGAAAAAAAATTGAAAAAAACTCTTAAATACTAACAAAATATTTCTTATTTGGAAGTTACGGAGTAAAACTGTCTTCTGCTAGAAAAAGCATGTATATGATATAACCCTGTAGCATCATCTTCATCCTCAGTGAAGATGAAAACTGAAGCATGGATTTAGGGGTCAAACCAGTTATCAACAAGTTTCATGCGCTTTAGTTTGTTCGGATAATAGATCTCTGAGAAAACTATTTGTTAGCAAAGAGTCACACATACTCTTTTCACCAGCTTCCATGTATTTTGTGCTTTCCTTGTAAACCAAAACATTCTAGTCAAGGAAATCTTCAAAATGTAAACTAGAAATCTACAGTAAAATGATAAAGCAAAAACCAATCCTAATCTACCCTTACAAGAAAACCTACTTTGCTCTTAGTGACTAAATCCACATATATCAGCTGCAAAGACTGCATCTAACTCAGCTTCTGCAGAAAACCTTTTGGTAGCTGTGCTGCACCTCTTGCTCCCTGAACAGCAGAAAACTAGGAAATGTCCTTTTCCAAACTTTAAAATTACTGATTTAAAATAATTTAAAAGCCTATAATTTCAAATTGCTTCAGTGATTTGTTTGAACAGTTTGGGACCTCCAAATGTGCCCAGATCTGTAGTCTTGAATTCTTATCCCATAATTTCCTTTCGGAGGCAAGGAAACCACCAAAATGGAAGAGATGTTTCTTCTGGTCATTTGTGCCATAATCTTGCTTAGACAGAAAATTTTGTTATGACTAAGAGTAATTTCTATTCAGTTACACTCCAGGAAACGATCCCAAAGCATACTGGAGATTCCACAAATGTTGAAATTGCTTAGCAGGTTCTAAACCCCAAAACCTCCTCTAAAATAAAAAAGCTTTATAAAATATTACCTCTGTGCTCTTTTTCTTCCACACAAAGTATTTCTCAGTTCCAATGGGGTCTCTTCTCCAGACTGTATTTATTGCTTCCTCTGTTCTCAATAGCTCCTATGAGTGTGTATGGTTAAAAGATAGAGCATAAAGACTGTTGAAATATGTAAGTTCTTTGGAATGTCAGCAACAGCAGCAAGATGAAATCGAGTCAACAAAAGCAAGACTGTATCTTTGGCACCTCACACAAAAGCTAAGCGGCCCTGTCGTCTTCTTTTTCACAGATCCAGGACTGTATATTTTATACTTTTGGTAAAAATATTTTAAAGTTGTTATTAACATTCACTACTAAGTGGGATGTGGTGTGAGAAAGACACAGTGGAAAGCAGAAAAGCAGGCCAGCTTAAAGACTCCTTATTTCTTATGTGGGCAGCAAGAAGCAACATGGTCTGTCTGTAACGGGATGAGATGGACAACCTGGAGATAATGAACAGATGGGAATGAGGGGCAGATTAAAGACTAGAGCGATAATAAGCGTGTGTGGGGGGTGGGAGTGGGGAGTAAAACAGGCACCAGATAAAGGATGATTAAGAGAAGTAAGGTTGGAGGAAGAATAAAATGACTGAGAGAGAACGTAAATAGTAAAATCAAATAGGGGATTGAGAAAGAGTAAAGAAGCAAAAGCCAGAGAGAAGAAAAAAAATGAAAGAAATGAGAAAAACAACTAAAAGGAAGATAAGAAAAACAGGTGGGGAAAGAACCAAGAACAGAGCACAGGGTGGTGGAGTAAAAAAGGAGTAAAAAAGTAGAAAGTCTATGCGATGTTCCAAATAGACAAAATATTCATCTTCCTACACATATCAATGCGATCTTTTATGTTCCATAAAACAAAAATAATTACAATAATTGACCTACATTTATAGGGTTGCTTTGTACGCAAGTTAGTTTGCAACCATAGTCTCCTGAAGATTCAGCCATCCGAGAAGAAAGGTAGAAAATTCCCCACTAAAAGGTACAAAGCCTCTTTGTGCAGTTTAGCTTTCTAAGGGCTGAATGTTGGCTTATTTGTAATCAGATGATGTCATATGCATTC